CCAGTTGGCACTGTAACACCCCATAGCACTTCTGTGGTTGACACATGTAACAGCTCCAGGACTCTTGCTCTTTTGCCTTGGCCAAGGTACCTTGCCCTACCAGGACCTCCAAGTAGTCAACACAGAAGCACCTGCAGCAGCTGGTATTGCTACACAGCAGCAGCTCCTTGCCTTCGCAGCAGACGGTGCAGTAGGTCTGGAACCCGTCCTCGTCGGACATGTAGCTTGGACGGGGGTTCTGGTAACGTCTTCTCTGCCCGGCTCCTAGCAACCTCCAGGGCATGGTGTATGGCTCCACCACTTCCCCTGCAACTCTGCTCTCCTGCAACTCTGCTCTCCTGCTCCCCAGCGACAAGCTCGGGGGATCCGTTCTGGTCCTCCTGAGTGCCTTTGCAGCAGACAGTGCAGTAGGACTGGTACCTGTCCTCGTCGGACATGTAGCTCGTCCGGGGGTTCTGGGAACGTCTTCCCTGCCCGGCTCCTAGCAACCTCCAGGGCATGGTTTACGGCTCCACCACTTCCCCTGCAATTCTGCTCTCCTGCTCCCCAGCGACGAGCTCGGGGGATCCGTTCTGGTCCTCCTGGGTGCTGCTGGCAGACGTGGTACTGCTGCTCTGGGAGGACTCCTTGGAATCCTCCTCAGTGAGATCGATCAGGGGCTCCTGGACAGACATCCTCCTCTTAGAGCACTGATTGGGAGCCAGAGACTCCATGTCATTCACTTCTTTAAGTTTCATCTCATGGAGATTCAGTCCTGCCTGGAATATCATGCGAGCTGGAGGCTTCTGCCTCAGGCTACTCTCCCAGTTGGCAGCACTGCACGGTCGCACCTACCCCAGCTTACCCCTTGCTCCCATGGCTCACGAAGCCTGGACAGTAGTAAGGAGCAGTTCAACTATAGGCTGAACGAGTGCAGAATGGTGGTAGAATGTGCCTTTGGACATTTAAAGGCTCGCTGACGCTGTTGGTCAGACCTCAGCGCAACAAACATTCGCATTGTTATTGCTGCTTGCTGTGTGCTCCATAATATCTGTGAGAGTAAGGGGGAGACGTTTATGGCGGGGTGGGAGGTTGAGGCAAATGGCCTGGCGTCCGATTTTGAGCAGCCAGACACCAGGGTGATTAGAAGAGCACAGCAAGGCATGCTGCACATCAGAGAGGCTTTGAAAACCAGTTTCATGACTGGCCAGGCTTCGGTATGACAGTTGTGTGTGTTTCTCCTTGATGCAAACCTGCCCCCTTTGTTGATTTTAATTCCCTGTAAGCCAACCACCCTCCCCCCTTCGAAATAAAGTAACTATTGTTTTGAAATCATGCATTCTTTATCTTTTTTTTAATCACATTAAGTGATAAAGTAGGCAGTCCATCTGTGCTACTGCGTTCAGAAGAATACTGAAATATAAAACAAATTAACTTGTTTAATTAAATACAAGCATTCTTTTAATTACATTTAAACTGTTCATGACATTCCCTCTCAGGCAGCATCTGCTGAGTCAAATTGTGTAAATGTTTTTCTTAAATAAAACAAGATCGTTTTAGTCACCAATATTTGAAGTTATGCATTCAAAAATAAGTTTTAAGAAAACCTCATGCTTCATGGCATGAATTGATGGTCGTGGAGGTCAGAAAAGGAAGCTTCCATCACATGTAACACAGTACAACTGACAAGAGGCATTATGGGTAGGACTCCATGTATGCTACAACTCCATTGCCACTAGTTTGCCACAACATAGTGCCATGTTATTGATTTCTAGCTTGCAGCACAGAACATGGGGCCTTCATCCTGGGTGGAGCTGAGTGAAAAGTTTGTCTGTGAAAAAATTGTCTGTGAATTCAAAAAATAAATTTTAAGTAAACTATGTTTGTTTAAATCTTTTCATGCTTGAAAGCCAAAGCACTCCAGGCTGGTTAGGCAACGGTTAATAGGCCAAGCTCAAAACCAGTTAGGGTTTGGCAGTTTCTTGGAAACTCAGCCTGGGGCAGTTATAAAGAAGATTAAGATTATCTTGATTTTAGTAAGGCTTTTGACATAGTTGCATGTGTCATTCTGATAAGCAAACTAAGGCAACGTGGTCTAGATTAAATTACTAAATGGGGGGGGGGGTGCATAACTGGTCAAAAGACTATACTCTAAAAGTAGTTATCAATGGTTTGCTGTCAAACTAGGAGGGCATATCTAGTGGCGACCCACAAGGGTCTGTCCTGGCCCGGCACTATTCAACATTTTCATTAATGACTTAGATTACGGAGTGAAGAGTATGCTTGTAAAATTTGCAGATGACGCCAAACTGAAAGAGGTTGCAAGCAGCTGGGAGCACAGGATTAGAATTCAAAACAAACTTGAAAAATTGGAGAATTGCTTGAAATCTACAAGTTGAAATTCAGTAAAGACAAATGCAAAGTACTACATTTAGGAAGGAAAAATCAAATGCACAACTACACAATGGGGCATAATTGGCCAGACAGTAGTGCTGCTGAAAAAGATCTGGGGTTTATAGTGGATCACAAATTGAGTATGACCCAAGAATGTGATGTAGTAGCGAAAAAAGGCTAATATTGTTCCAGGATTCATTAACAGGAATGTCATATGTAAGATAAGGGATGCAATTGCTTCACTCTACTTGGCACTGGTGAGACCTCAGCTGAAGTATTGTGTCAAGTTTGGGGTGCCATGCTTTAGGCAACATGCAGATAAATTGGAGACAGTTAAGAGGAAAGCAACAAAAATGATGAAAGGTTTAGAAAACCTTACCTATGAGGAAAGGTTAAAAAACTGGACATGTTTAGTCTCAAGAAAAGAAGAGCAGTGGATGACATAAGTCTTCAGATATGTTAAGGGCTGTTATACAGAGTTTGCTGATCAATTGTTCTCCATGTCCACTGAAGGTAGGACAAGAAGTAACAGGCTTAATCTACAGCAAGGGAGATCTAGATTAGATATTAGGAAAAAGCTTCTAACTATAAGGTTAGTTAAGTACTGAAATAGGCTTCCAAGGGAGATTGTAGAGTCCCCATTGTTGGAGGTTTTTAAGAACAGGTTAGACAAACCACCTGTCAGGGATGGTCTAGGTATACTTGGTCCTGCCTCAGTGCAGGGGGCTGGACTAGATTACCCCTCGAGGTCCCTACCAGCCCTATATTTCTATGATTGTATGAGTGTCCATCATAATACAGTCTTTTATTATGCAATCTGGCATTTATTTTGTTATCATAACAGGTAACAAGTGTTAATTTATGAAGATAGCATTAGTGTCAATCAGATATCTGGGTTTCAGATATTTTCTTCATTGTTTGATTAGCTAACATTTCACTTACTCTCTGATTCTCACTCTTAAAACAAAAAATCTGCCAGCCTTCTCGCACTGTAAAAAATCCATGCTGATTTAAAAAAACATCCCACCAGACTGTTTTACAAAGATTTTATAGAACAGATGTTTTTCACCAACAATGAAGCATTTCTAAAATGTTAAATATAAAGGATTTCTAGTCTCTTTAATATCTCCATCTGAAACAAAAAAGTAAGTCTTGGTTGTGATCATCTGACTTACATTTAAATCATTGAGAACATCAAAACAACTATTCATGAGAGAAGTAATCATGTCAATACACTTCTGCTGTAAACACATGATAAGCCCTTATTTAGAGAAAATTGTTTTTTCCCATGGTTACATTTGATTTCCATAATCAAATACTGACTCATCAAAACACTTCAGTCATGCTGCTCTCAGCCTGACATCTGTTTTATTTCACTTTTATGTGTCTCAGGCACATTGACTACAACCCTACTCCCATGTGAAGTGTTTTTATAGGAAAAAATTAATTGTATGTGCACAGCTCATTTTTTATAAAAGCCATCATGTAAAAATGCAAACTTAAATGTTGTCAAGAAAAGAGTCTAGCACTCTGTGATGCTCTTTTGGTGTCTCTTGTGAATAAATGTGTACTTCAGTAATTACAATTTCTATAAACTCATCAGGCCACCCTCTTTCCAAATGCTTTTGTTGCTCTGTGCATACTTCCAACACTTCCTGTAACAGTTGCAGTGGAGAACACAGCTTCTCCAAGCTGAAGTTAATAAAAACACATCTACGCTCCACAATGACACAGGAGAGGCTAGTCGGCCTTGCAACCGTCTCAATAGAACATGAGCTGGCCCAGACTTTGGACCTTCAGGAAGCAGTTCAAATCTTTGCAACCAAGAAGGCACAGAAAGCACCACTTTGATTATTGAAACAGATAAAAATTCCAGTGTTTACTATGCAGAAAAGAAAAGTTACATTTGCTGTTCAGGCATTTGAAAGTTAAGTGTTACTTAAAATTTTTGAACAAGGCATTTTAAGTTGTTAGTTCTCCTTTATTGGGGTAGGTAGCAGAGCAGTACCATGAGAGGAGTAGAACAGGAAGAAGGCAGAATTGAGACCTTTCAAAGTTTTGGCCCAAGCGAGGGAGCATGGGGGCGTCATTTGAGCTCTCCGCCTCAGGTGCCAAAATATTGTGGGCCGGCCCTGATAAATAGTAGTGTAGCCACAGTAACATGGGCAGTGACAGTGGAGGCATGGCTGAAACCGGTGGGTATGTACTCGGCGCAGCTAAGCCGTGCCTCCATTGCTGCTATCCATATTACTACGGCTACAATACTATTTATACTTGTGCTAGCACAAATGTGCATACATAAGCAGGGGAATAAAATCCTTAGCTCATAATGTAGATGTAGCCCCAGTGTGAGGGTCTGCCTCTTCCTGCTTACTAAGCAGCTGATTTTTATAGTATTTTCTTTGTTCCTTCTGAGTACCTAATTGGCTCATCAGTCCTCAGTCCTACTCTGTTACTCTACCCTACACAGTTGTATGATCTCTAAGCTGGGAATTAACTCCCTGCTTGTTGGTGATCCGCTAGAATCTTTGTACCATGTCACAAAAACTTTAAACTTCTCTAGTGTCTTCCCTCTGAGTATCTCCAAGGGATATCAAAATTATTAATGGTTATATTTGTACCCACAGAATATGAGGAAGTGGAAGAGTACTCTCCACTTGAAACAGAACAAACTGCTCAGATGCAATCCGTTGATTCCAAAGAGGAACCTAAACTGAAAGGTAAGATTTGTATTACAAGTAGTCTTTTCCCTGTTATAGCATAGAGAACTATGTGCATTCTTTTTCCATTTTTTTCGTTGTGTTCCTACTGTAAAGTACACTATTTTAAATAATATTTTGATTAGGCTGACAGCAAAAGTGTATGTGGTTTGGTCATGAATTTTCATTCCTTTCCCGTTTTGTTTCTTTTCAAGAATGCAAGGTAATAATGGAATAGCCAGAGCCAAGTAGTACCTAAGCACTTTTTAAATGTAATTAAAGGGTACTGTTAATCTCGGTAAAGTTCAAAATTCCCTTCCTGAAAATTGTGATTTTTGTCCCTTCATTTAAAAACAACTCATTGTAAGTCTTGAGACAAAAATGAGAAGAGGACTAGGGAGCATGAAGAAACTAAAAAATATTAAGCTATGATCAAATTTCATCCTTCTAAGTTATCTAGAGTATATCTTTTTGCAAGTCCAAATACTATAGATAACTATTTTAATTCATTTTACCACACTCGGATTAGTAGAGTTTGAACAGTAGAACAGGTCTTATATTGCTCTGCAAATGGCCCGTAAAGTTGAGGGGAGTGAAAAGAATTGTATAAAAACAGTGGTTCTTGTTTGAGTAGTGTTCCTATGGGTGCTTCACTGTAGGTGTGTCTGCGTCCCTGCACCTCTGATCAGAGATTTTAAGTAACAGTGTCCATTCAGCTCGCAAGTGCTCTGTCTTTCTGACTCATGCCTTGCCTCTCGGCTATCTAGTGTTGTGCGGGTAAACCGCCCTCAGTTCCTTCTCAACCGCCCTTGGCCTGAGATGGAGCAATCAGCAGAGTCCGATTCTAATTAGTGTTTTTTCCTTGTTTTGAATTTTGTAGTAGCTAGTAGAGTTTCTGTTATCATTTACTCCCATTCCATCGCTCCTTTTCTTATTTCATCCCGCCAACATTTTGTTTCTTTCCCTTTTTCGTTATACCTTACAACAGGTATCTCCCTGTTCTTATTGACCCATTTTTTCTCCTCCCCTGCTGGGGACCAGCCACAAACAAGGGGTGTACAGTGAGGCAATACCAATCAGCGACGGTCATTTTCACTGTATCCAATGTCTAGTAGAGGCTCATAGTCCTCAAAAGTGCACTTTTTGCCAAAAGTTGAAGGTCAGAACAAGGAAGGGCCACAAATTTAAACTTAAGCTCCTCATGATGGAGAGTTCTCTCAGACTGGCCTCTACCTCCGGTCCTGGAACTCCCTGGAGCAATGGTCCCCATCAATGCCATCAACATCCACAATATGCCAGCCTGTAACCAGAGCTGAAGAGGAAATTGTATAGTGGTTTGTTCAGTCTATCTCTGTTTGGCGTGTACACAGTTCTTAGCCATGCCTGAAGGCACTGCATATGGAGTCTTCCATGACTTATCACAAACACATGCTGCCAGGTGCCTGAGAATTTGAAGTCAATTTCTGGCTGAGGTCTGGGAGCTAGTCAGAATGGTGTTGATTAAGATGGTGAGTGTGGAACCTGTGTAGTGGGAGGAAGGCCTTGGCCTTTATTGTATCAAGATAGGATCCTAAGAATTCCAGCTGTTGCCCTAGAGTCAAAGTCAATTTTTGGGTGTTCAGTTGTAGTCCTAACTGCGTGAGTACCTCTATAGTCTTTTGTGTGGCCCACAGGGTGTCATTGAAGGATTGTGCCTTAAGTAGGCAGTCATCTAGATATGGGTAAATCATGATTCCTAACTTGCAAAGATGGGCTGCTACCACAGACAGGAATTTGGAGAATACTCTCGGTGTGGATGATAGGCCAAATGGAAGTAATCTGTACTGATAGTGGTCCTGACTGAAGGAGAATCTGAGGAACCTCTTGTCGGAGGTAACCATCATGAATTTTTGTGCCTTTACATATTTGTTTAGAACTCTCAGGTCTAGAATGGTCTCAGGTCTCCATCCTCCTTTCCCCTGAGTTGATCGGGAACTGGTTCTATAGCACCGAGGCTTAGGAGGTGAACCCTCTTGTTGAGATCTTGAAATTGTTTAAAATTGTCCGCCATTGATGGTGGAGGCGGCATCATGGCTTTGTCTGGTGAGGATGAAGAGACTACAGTGCATTTTAGTCCAAAATCAGTAAATGGGTACCCATTAAATAGTTTTGCCGACAAAATATATTTCACAGCACCTTGATGAAAATGAGTTGGCAAATTATTATGTAGTAAAATCTTCATTAAAATATGCAATGGACATGATCTAAAGACAAAACCAAATTTACAGCAAGAGATATTTAAATGTCACGGTATGCAAGTGCTCTTGTTGTTGTGCCCCAATCTGCCTTTTTATTTATTTTATCAAACACTTAATGCTAGAGAAACACTGGTTCCTGGCTTCTTTACCCACCACTGACAGTGTGGGGAGAGTGACATCTTGATCTTTTCCCCTGCTGAATGCTGGACAGAGGGTAGAACAAATGACAACTACCACAATCACCCAAAACAAAGATATAGAATCCTCACCTCTCCCACCTGAGTTTCTTCTCAACCATCCTCGGCCTGAGACAGAGCTCCCAGCAGTGCGATAGCTGATATCTTTATTCACTGTGTAGAATAGTTAGAGTAGTTGTTTGTTTACTAGTTAGATTTACTTACTTTTTTTTTTTTTTTTTTTTTTGAGAAAAATAAAGGAGGAAGAAAAAGGTATTTCCTACCCTTACCATAGTTTGTGTTCACCCTCGGGACTGAACCTCCATAGTCCAACCCATACCCGGTTCACCAGGTTTCAAGTGCTGCCTTTCCTGACGGAAAGTGATCGTGTTATCGGATGGTCACTTTCAATGTATCTGATGCTTAGGTGAGACACATCCCACAAAAGTGTTCTCAATGCAGCAACTTAAAGGCTCACACAAGGAAGGACAGAGATCTGCGTGTAAAACTTATCCTTATGGAAAAGTTTCTGCACCCAGCATCTGATCCCGGCCAGCAGACCGCCCTGGACAGCATTCTCCAGAGGCTTCATCCTTTTCTCACAGGAAGGCTCATTCTTCCAAAAAAGTAACGAGGAAAAGAGTGGCATCTTCTCCTTCGAAAGAACCACCAAAAAAGAAGCAGTCTCGGGTTCATTTGATATCCTTGGTATCAACCACACTGCGGCTGAGTACATACGAGGCACCAGGATCTGCTGGCACCACCCAAGCCATACCTTCTGCAGAACCCAAATGGGCAGACTCGGAGTTGAGAGGCAAACAAAAGCCCATCTCCTCCATTGCAGTACCGATGACCACAGAAAGATGCAGCACTGAGAGTCTCCCCATGGCCTATTGTGCCACCACCTGCTCCAACAATGCAGAGCACACAGGCATCAGCACCAACATCCACAGCTGTAATGTCGCCGTCGGCACTAAACATTTTGGCACTGAAACCCTTGGCACTATTCCATTTCCTGCAACATAAGGACTTATTGGTATCATTGATGCCTGAATCCCTGCTCTTTGGCACCGACTTATCCCCAGTAAATACAGTACCATGCTTCACCCCTGGTCCCTCCATTTTCCAGTGGGGAGGAGGATAATGAGGAGGAAGGTGTTTTCTCATCACACCACTCCTCTCCTGTCCAACATACTCCTACACTAGGACCACATGTACGGCTGAGACCTCTTCCCAATCCTGACACCTAGACGTGGTATGGTCACCCATGGATGCCTCCACCTATGCTGTTCCCCATACAGTGGCCTTATGGGGACTCTGGGGTGCATACAGGAGGCAATATCCCAAGCCCCCAAGTCCTTACAGGAAAAGGATTAGATCTCCCCCACCATCCTCTGTGGCTGCACCATCAGAGACCATTGAGGAGAGCTTTGAGGAACAAGAAGAAGCACTGGAACATGACATGGTATCATCTGCTGATATTTCCTCCTCTTTCCCAGATGAGGTCATAATGCCCCCACCACCCACAGCTGTGGATGATTTCAAACATTTTCAAGAACTCTTCAGTAGAGTTGCAGACTGCCTAGAGATCACTCTAGAGGTGGTGCCAGAGTCCCAACATAAGTTGCTGTACATTCTGCAAACCTTTTTGGCTTCAAAAATAGCGCTTCCAATAAGCAATGCACTCATGGAACCAGCCAAAACCATATGGCAGATTCTGGCAACAATACCACCCCCTGAAAGAGAGCTTGTAAAAAGTATTATGTCCCCTCAAAGGGGATGGATTTTTTATTTTCCCACCCAGCACCGAACTCTCTAGTCGTCAATGCAGTCACCCAGCACTGTTGACAACATCAGTATAGATCCACCCCATACGACTAGACCTTTTTGGCAGCAAGACCTATTCTTCAGCAACCCTGCAATTTTGAATTGCCAGTTACTCAGCATTGATGGCAAAGTACAACCATGTAAACTACTCCAAACTGGCGGAATTAATTAATGATATTCTGGAAGAGAAAAGGGACCAATTCAAATCCATCTTAACTAAGGGTCAACTTCTGGCCAGAACCACCCTACAGGCATCCCTAAATGTGTCAGACATGGCGGCATGATCCACGGCCACTGCCATTATTATGCACTGAGCATCATGGCTTCACCTGTCCAGTTTCCCCAGGGAAGTAGAGCCCCCAGTGTAGGACCTTCCCTTTGATGACCAGAAACTGTTCGCTTCAAGACACACAAAGCCCTCCACACCCTGAAGGACTCTCAAGCAACTCTCCACACCTTGGGGATATACACACCGCAACCAAAAGAAAACAAGGTAGATATTATCCCTACCAGCGCACACGATCCATCGAATGCACTCATCAACGGAGACACATCGACAGAGGCAGAGACCTTTGAGGCATCAACCACCTCCGCCTCAATCATCTGCATCTCAGGCATCCTCTGCTAAACAACAATTTTGAGGATTTGATCAAGGGTATAAGTGACTTCCCCCACCCGCCAGTACTGATGCCATCGTTCACCCCTGTTTTGCCCAACATTTGATCCCTTTCTATTCAGTGTGGACTTCCATCACCACAGACAAATGGGTCCTAGAAATAAT